TTTTATGTTTGATTTGGTTGCAGGATTACATCATGAGCTGACATCGGTTAGAGAACCATTGGAAAACCAGGGTGTACTGGACAGCCATTTCGTCCTAGTTTGGGACTCTTCGACAGAACGTTCTACCGGAGTTCGAACCCAGAACCTCCTGGTTTCAAGTGTAACGAGCTCGTAGACCAATAAGACACAGTGACCCGATCAAATGGCCAGTGCATGAATTCTAACTTTATAAATTGGCATAAGTAACTATAAGGTTCTGGGTTCTCGAACCCTTGTGTATGTACTGATGAATAGTCTCAAACCTGGGTGAAACAACTGTTCAGCATTCCGTGGTTTTCCAGTGGTTCCTTAGCCAATGTCAACTCATGGATGTGACTGACTGACATAGGACACCTCACTCAACCCACAATGCAAGAGAAGAAAGTAAAAAGAAATGCAAAATAGAGACAGTAAACAGAGATATGAGACAAAAGGAATAGTAATATCGAAGAACACCAAGCTTTTGATTTGACACTAGTAACTAGTGTGATGCGTCTAGTCCTCTGATTGGTGTAGACTGAATTGTATCAGTTAGGTTGTAATGTGACCACCATTCTAGCTAGCTCGCCATCACGGTGCACATTGATTTGATGGTATTAGATGGTGCCATGACGAGTGCCAACTAACACGAAACCTAGGTCCAAGGCTTCCTGCCGATTGCCTCCAACCATCTAATAGCACTAAGCTTTATCGGTTATTGTAAGTGACAATGAGTGGATGCACCTGCGCTAGTCATTAAGAACGATTTCGAACCATATCACCTATTGTCTCCAGCCAGTGGTTTTTACCGTCTCGAGGACCCCAACCAGGAAGTCTACATCTTCCTACGTGGCTGGCTGAGACTAACTGATGTGAATTTCATTGACTGATGAAGCCATGTTTTGGTTTGACCATCAGTAACTAACTCTTTTCCAACCTTATCCATCCCATGTCAGCAGTTAACATGGGTCATCGACGAAGGCGATGGCTAGGCAGGGCATGCGTAACACATGTTCTAACCATCTCAATCGGTGTAACTTACCAACCTTGTCTATTGATTTTCCCTCTTTCTCTCCTCGTCACAGCTCATTATATAATCCTCAAACCAAATCAAAGAATAATTAATTTGTGAAATAATCTGGTCAAATCTTGATCACAGCTAATTCAGTTTCCTTTATTTTGTACTTGATAATAACTATTGGTGACTTAGGAATGATACAACAAGCATTTTTGAGGACAAGATGTCTCTCTTATAAATGCTTCGGATATTTTAATTTTGAAGATATTCAGACCAGTCAACCCAGTGAAACGTTATTTGTTTCAGTTTCTTTGAAATTTATTCAAATATTACTTAGATTATAGGTCAACTAGAGAGATGATTGAAAACAAGGGAACACTACTGAAGAGTCCCCCTCCCAAATGGGATGAAACAGTTGTCCAGTACTTTTTGGTCTTAAGCTGTCTCTTTCTAACTAATAAGGTTGGTTCGTAAGGAAATCTAATAATTTAAAATTAAAATTTATGCAAATCCTGAAAAATTCGATAATCTTAAATATCAATCTCCAACTCACTTGATGACTACACTGGATGGATGCATGTCATGAAGTTGTTGTGAAAAGTTGTGATCAGTTGATGAAGTGGATGCTCGTCGAAAGGATTCTCAGGGGGAGGGTGTAACCCTATATCACTCATCGGCTGACAAAGTTAGAATTCATAGGTCACTGAATATCTTCCTACTCAAGTGTCTAATTAATTAACGAGTTTGGTTTTCCTTTGCTGATGGTCCCTTGTTCAATCCTTGGGGAGCACGCATTGATGAAGAGTCCCTCAAAATAGGACGAAACAACTATCTAGTACTTCATAGTTTTCAATAAAATGATGTTAATTCGTAACAAAACCTAATAATTGAAATTATTTATTATCATATCAGCACGAAAAAAACAAAACAAATCTAATTATTGAGATTTGACATAGATTTTGTATAGATTAGATTTTAATCCGCCTATTAATAACGATAATAATATTGATGTCTAACCATTATCATAATTAAAAGTATGTATTCGACGTAGCTAGTCTGCATATTTATTGATTATGATTACATCGTTCATTAAAAAAAGTTAAGTGCATAGTTAGACAAACTAATTTAATCGTGTAAAGTACCTACATTTCGTATATATATTCCCTCACATTCCTGTGCACATACACAAATATGTTAAAATGTCACCAAATATATATATATATATATATCACCAATGATATTCCTAGTTGTTGTGATCTGGATTATACGTCAGACAGTGAGAAACGAGAAGACAGGGATATCCTGAACCGACGTGAAGAACCTAGAAGACCTGGATTTCGCGCGTGGATGATTTATGTTTGATGTCATACAAAATCAAAGACTTACAAGCGAAAACCGACCGACAAACTGGCCGAAGAAGCAGCCGGCGAAGATAGGACTCCAGGTGAACATAGACAAGACAAAGGTTATGAAAATAACCAACCAACCAACAACAACAGCAACATCCAGTGCCAATCACCACCAACGGGAGGGATTTGAAAGAGGTTACTTCATTCACCACTTTTCTAGGGGGCATTGTCTGAACTACAGGCAGTCGGAACGCACGAGGATGTCAAATCGAGCGAGAAACACATTCATCAACCTGAAACCAATCTGGAAATCTTCGTCACTCAGCCAGCATCAACAAAAAAATTCAGTCGGTTTTTCAATAGAAACGTCAAGTCAGTCACTTCTTCTATACGGATCGGAAACTTGGCGGGCGGGTCACAAAGAATATTTCCAACAGCCTGTTGCAGATGTTACCTTTATCAACCAACAACTATCTTCGCTGGCTCTATACTAAAGTTCAGATGGCCGGGCCGAAAAGAATCACCAACAAGAAACTATGGGAACACACAAACAAAACAAGAACCAATCGCCAACCAACAAATATGCAGGAGAAAGTGGAGATGGATTGGACACTCACTCGCTGAGGAGGCCGGCCACTGGGTGACATCGCTCGAGTTGAACCCGAAAGGGAAGAGGCGAGTGGGACGTCAGTGCAAGAGTGACATGGAGGAGATCGTGCGAAGGGGAGTTGAAAGAGTGTGGACTAACATGGATGCAGGTGAAAAGTACAGTAGCAGAAAACAGAAGCAAGTGGAGATGTGCAGTTGAAGCCCTATGTTCCACTAGGAACCCAAAGGAACTATAATAATAAAAATAGAGTAGAATTCAATGAACAACCTTACAATAAGAAAGATATGATTTACTCATTTTTTTATTGTTTGTGTATCACGATCCATATTATAAATTTGTTTAATACAAAAGACGATGGTACAAGAAATAATAATAACAATAATAATAATTCCGAGTGGAAAGTATAGCTTCAAACATGAGTAGTGTTGTTTTTTAACAGAGTGTGGTTGCTAGCCCCACGTACCTCTTTCTCTTAGTTTATCGGGTATGCGCCGACTGGGAATCGAACTTCGGACCATCTGCGCTACATACGTGGAAAACATTATACCTGTAATTCAGCAATGCAATTAAACTTGGTGAGGTTCAGAATTACATTTTCTGCGAATAAATAGAACCCGGTGGGTAAAAAGATATTTAAGGTGTGTAACAATTCAATCCCCGATAATCTAACTATTTCAACGTCTGTTAACTCCCAGCTTGACTGTACTAAGATGAACAGCTTTGTATCAGAAGTTAGCAAATGGTCTTCTTCTAACGGCCTTAAACTAAATCCTTCCCAATGTCAGACTGTCAATTTCAGTTTCCGTTGTAAACGAAAGTTAAATGAAGCCGTTGGTTCCTATGACCATTGCAAAATTGATGATAATGATATAGAAACCAAGTCTGAAGTTAAGTATCTTGGATAAATTCTTTCTTCTGACCTATCCTGGTCTTCCTATGTCTTAGCGATTTCTAAAAGAAGATTTCGTCTGACTTTTTACATTAAGAAATTGAGGCACTCAGGCATAACCCAACCACTCCTCTTACAGTTTATCAGCTTGTGTATTTTACTTATTCTTGTTTACTGTTCACCCTTATTCTTTCCTGGATTGCTTAAAAAAGACTGTGTCATACTATGTAGAACTCTGAAGACTGTCAGTAGGACGAGTGGTATCCCATTGGGCCATATCGTTGACATTGTCACTGATAGGCACTTGATTTCATGCAATGAACTTGCTGTAGGGATTTTTTCGGACTGTCAGCATCCACTTTATCCGCAGCTCCAACATGCCGTCAAATATGGTATAGTGGAATTTAATATACTTAGACGTACGTGCACACCTAGTGTCAGGAAAGAAGTAACTAACCTTCTCTGCACTACTAAATAAACCATTTCCTCCACCCTTACGGTGTCAAACTTTATTGTCATTGTTCTTCTTATATTTATAATCCTCTCAGTTTTTTATTTGTTTATTTTCTCAAAAATGTAAACACCATATAAGCTGTGTTATAGCTGTTAATTTTGCCTTTCCCCTCACTATACTATATCAACAGAATATTAGATTCAATACTACAATAACATGCTAAAATTTCCAAACTGAATCGACAATACGGTTTGAAACAAACTCACTGTTATTGTTATTATTATATTTAATACTCTCAATCCGTGCTTCGGATATTTTTGAATTTATATCGTAAACGTGGACAAATTCCTCTGGTTGCTTTTGTTTTAATTTTTAACTTTATTCATATTTTGAGTAAATCAGATGGAATATTTTGAGAAAAAAATGCAGAAAATTCCATTCTGTATTATCAGTACTGTTTTTGGAATAAAGTAGATTCTTATTCTTCTTCTTCTTATTATTATTATGTGTTTATTCAAGTAAGGTCTATGATTTTTTTCTTTTCATTTATCATCTTTATAGTGATTGGACAAACAATCTTTAACTGAAAAGTAAAATATAATAAATCATATTAAAAGTATTGTATTAATATCATAAGATGTAATTGTTCTCTTATGTTTTAGTATTCGGGAAGTATGGGAGAAATTTATCCAACTCTCTGAAAGGGAACAAGAAAAGCTACTCAAATCACTTCGTATAGAAAGTGACGGTGACGGTGACGATGATGATGAAGAAGACGGTGGTATTAGTGATTACGACGAAGTTGCAAATGATGATATGGTCTGTACTTTTACACCACCTCAGACTTTATCTAAACGTAGTACGAAGCATCGTTGTCGACGAGGAGATAAACGTGGAAAAATGAATAAGAATGCCATGAATTTATTGGAGGCTGATCTTGCACTGAGTAGGTGTTACTCAAAGAGGTGTCATTCATTGAGTACTTTTGTGTTTCTTTATCTTCACAGAGTAATCTGATTACTTGATGTTATTATTATTCCCTTTGGTTCCGAGTGGAACATAAGGCTTCAACAACACGTCTCCAATTTGTTCTATTTTCTGCTGTCCTCTTCAGCCAGGTCCACGATTGCCTGTAATCTCTCATGACATGATCTCCCCCATGTCACCCTCGGATAACCAGTTCGCCATTCCAAATTTGGAATCCGCATGAGCGATGGCCTGCATTGCACTCCATGTTGTTCTATGGCCTCCTCAGCGTATGCGCGATCCATCTCCACTTTCTCCTACATATTTGTTGAGCGATTAGTTGGTTTGTCGACGGCCAGAAGTTCTAGTTGTTGATTATTTCTGGTTGACCATTTCATCTTCAGTATGGCGACAGTGAGAGCGGCTGTTGACAAAGTCTGTAACTTGTTGGAAATGCTTTCTGTGTATCAAGCGCATTTTTTATTCTCTCCAGGATAATGTGACTTAGTATTTTTACTTGGCGTGCACAAGGGCATTATTCCATATCAGTTCTTGAAGAGGCGTAAGTCGCCCTTCTTTGGCAGCTTGAAAAGGAAAGTAGCCTTTCTTCCAATCTGTAGGTACCTTTCCTTCCTTCCAAACCTTTAGCAATAATGGCGTGAGCGCGTTTACCACAGTCTCTTGGTCTATTTTCAGTGCTCCGGGGGTGGGGGAATTTCCGTCTGATCCCGCTGCCTTCCTGACCGACCGGCTGTCAGAAACTTGATCGCATTTGAGATTTCTGCTTTCGTTGGAGGATTGGTGTCCACCGTTAGGCAGTTCTGTGCGTGCTGTCGGTGGTATTTCTGACCGACTTGCAGGTGATGGTCGACTCAAGAGTCCTTTAAAGTGATCAGTCCATTGTTTTATTTGTTTCTTCTCCTTGGTAATCAGGTTCCCTTGAATATTTTTAAATTGGTTTCTATGTTTGTGTTGATCTCTTCCCGGATAAAGACATGTTTATCTGATAAAATGTTATGAGGTCTCTTGTACCTGCGCGCCCTACATGTTCTCCTTCAGTTGCTGCTAGCCAGTGTATCGTAGAATTGTCTTTTGTCTTTCCTAGTACTCTTCTTCACTTATTTATTTAGTGCAGTATGCATTGAACTTACAGCTTCTCCTTCTGTTGTCTATCTTTGCATTGAGTCAATCAATCAATCAATTCAATGACGTTTGTAGTTATGAAGATCTTCTTACTGAAATTACACTGCAAAAATATATAGCTATATTACAGTTTTAAGCTTATTCACTTTATCCCTGTTTTCTTTTGCTCTCTTTCTTCTCTCTCTTCACACACATACAGATGAATCTTCAAAATCTGAAGAAAATACTGACAATTTAGACGCTAATACTCTTTCCAATGAATGTCGTCTAGAGATTGAACAACATATTCCTACTCGTCTACTATCCTTATTATCAAATTCACCGAATTCACATCATTCAAAAAGCAATCGAAAACGTGTTAAACGTGCTCTTACTCCTATTGATATTTGTTTGTTAAAAAGAGTAGAATTAGAGTTAAGACAACATTTTTTTCAAAGAGAACAAGTGAATAGTATTGCAAAACGTTGGACTCCATCATTATCGTTAATATCATCTCAGTCAATAGAATCTTCAAGTAACAGTAATAATAGCAATACTACTAGCAATCGTGTAACACACTCTAATTTGCTATGCCTTGATTCATTTCAAAGATTGTTAGTTCATTCAATAGCTACCTATTTGGGACTGAGTTCATATAGTAAGTGTTTTTTTGCATTAAAAATAATTATCAATATTTATATGTATAAGTTTTTACTTTATTGTTATCACTTAAAGTTAATCGTCTTAGTTAATGAAGATACTGTTAACCGTTATTAAAATAGGATAGTTTACGGTCCTACGATAAGGTCACTGCTATCAGCTGATGGAATTTTTCAATGTATACGACTGTGGTTCAATAGCAGGATGCTAACCTCACAGGGGCTCTGGGTTTGACTCCTGACTGACGCACTACTATAAACCTCGTCTAGTTTACTAAACAGTTGTAAGCCCGAAAAGAAGGATGATTAGGTAGGTGAGGCTAGCATCCCTATTCTATGAAAACACCACCGTTCTAGAAAATTCTAGAAAGATTTTGAAGCTCTAGTTTCACGCGAAAGGTATGAAATGAGGGAAAAAAATCAAGCTAACTGAGTTGAATTTGTTCAGTCAAGTGTCTTGAAACAGATTGTTAGCAATAGAAAAAAGTCCATGCTGAGTAATCAATCACACATGGCTTGTAATCTAAAGCCTACTGGCTTGGAAATGACTACAAACCAAGTATTTACTGTACTTCCTAATCATCCCATTGTAGATTTCTTCTAAGAAATTCAGAACGATAATTCCAGTCGATTAATTAATTAAATCGAATCACACGTGTTATGTGATGCGTAAAATTCAAGAACAGAGAATTTTTCTATCATGCGGTGCTATATTATACACCAAATAATGAAATTTGACATATAAACATAAAAATGTGAAGTATCTGTGGCTGAGTGCTGTCAAGTGTACAGTCACTGTGCGTCAATAAACAAAACAACAGCAAAGCTGTGTTGAAGGCGATTCATAGTCAGATCAAATAGCACGCGAATGTCAGACAAAGAATAAAGGGATTCGAATGCACAATGTTTAAAAGAGAAGGGCATATATATATATATATATGTTTATATATATAAATATATGAAATGGGGCATTAATAAGGTTAGTAAAAAGTTTTAGCATGGAAACGGTAAGTGAGTTAAGTGTAAATGACAAACAGCAATTATTGTCATAGAGTAATGTACGTGAATTGAACTGAGTTGCGTCAAACTGAGTACACCACGGATGAGCCTGGTTTCAAGCAAGCCAAATGACTGTCCTTTGTTTAGATCACTTCGATGTGTAGCTGCAAGAAACCGATCTCTACGTTTTAATATATAACCGAGAGAACTTTGTTGAGACAGGCCTTATCATCACATGTTCCTTAGGCGGGGAAAAGACGACGATTCTTCAATATTTTGGTTGTCCTAGTACTAAATGATAATAATAATAATATCAAAACTCAAATTTACCTCAAAAGTGTCCCAGAATTAGCTATACAGGCTGTGTAAGTTTCAATTTACAAACCAACTACTGTAAAAGAAAACTAGTTAACTAAAGTTCAACTGTTAAAAGTACCTTAGAATCCACGCGATTATTCGCAGTGAGGTGGGTTCACAGAAGCTCTGTACACGAAAAACCACACACAACAAGGCTTCCTACAGACAATTCTTGGGTAAGGTTGACTTTCATTCACCCAAACAAACTGATATCGTTAAAAACAACACACTGGCAATCTGTACAAAATCACAAAGAGAAATGTTACAATTAAAGGTTAAACAAGATTAAAGGCAAATAATAAGGTTTGAAAGTCAACGTGTGATATGCAACTATCAAATTAAGGATACACAATCTAGGGAAAAAAACATGTAAAGATTACAAGGTTAGTTGAAACATCTAAATAACTATTGGTGTTATAAACATATCGTCCAGGAGCTATTTTCCAGACACTTCCTCTATTACATTAGCTGTCTGTCTGTCTGTTTTCGACATAGAACTTTGCACGGATATGCAGCAGTTCAAATCGCCACACTCCATAGAGCACACAAAGCAACACAAGAAAGTACAAGAAATGCATAATAGAGACAGTAAACAGAGGTGTGAGACAAAGGAATAGTAATATCGAAGAACAATATAGTTTCATTGGAAATCATAAGTCTCAGGGAGTGGCTGCATCTGCGCTAGTCATTGAGAACGATTTCCAGCCAGCCAAATCACCAATTGTTTCCAGCCATTGGTTTTTACCGTCACGAGGACCCCTGACCGATAGCTGATACCTTGACGTGATGGTCGGGCTTGCACATCGCGATGACCCAACAAGCTGCACTGGCTGGACCCAATGTTCCTGCAGTTCCTACCATGCCAGGAACGTTGTCAGAATAGCGATTAGACTAAAAGCAGTTACCGACATAGTGTAAGAATCTTTCTTACACTATGCTGGGGGTCTGAGGGCGAAGTCGTACTGCTGGGGAACAGGCGTGTAACACCAGTGAGGTGTAGCCCTCAGATGACCAGCATGCCAGTATGCTGTTTCTCCACTCCAGAGAGAGCGGGTTAGAAAAGGTCGACCCCAAAAATTGTACATCTCGACTTACTAATACGGACTAATCCCAGAAACCAGTTCATACAGGCTGTGTATGACAGGCCTGGCTCAAGCAGTAGTCCCCTGGGCTCTGTGGTCACGCAACACTAACCCTCTTTCTGTTTCAGGTACTCGAATAATTTATCAACTTCCACGGACGGTGTGGGCAGCCGGGAAAGAACAACCGCCCACACACTTCCAAAAGCACACAAAACCATCCTGAGCATCACTCTGCTTTACTCCGAAGAATCACATTAGCTGGCTAGCTATTGTTGCTGGTTGATTTGAGAGGTACACAACTACTCATCTCAGTCAACCAGTAGTATATAGTCTATATGCAATAATATCTTCTCTGTTGATATTATTCACATGTCAGTTAGTTAATTTATGTAATCCATTTCACTGATTTCAAGACCTGAGTGTATATGGATTTGAAGTGCATCTGTTAGAACAGAAATTTTTGTCAATCCTTAATTTCACACAACTCGATAAGTGTGATTGGATTCAGCCCCGTTATCTTATTCGTTGAAGCATATCTACGGGCGGTAGAATGCTCGCCAGTCGTGCATATTGTCTAGGGCTCGATCCTGGGCCGGCGCACTCCTAAACCTCGTTGCACTGGCAATCACATCGGTAAAGAGGGAAGGCTGGACATGAGGTTAGCAACCTTACTCCGTAAAAGTAAAACCATTTCTATCGAAACTTTAAAGCTCCAGCTTGAAGCCCTGTGATTCACTGGGAACGTACTGTTGATGAGTCCCAAACTAGGACGAAACAGCTGTCCAGTACTCCCAGGTGGTTTTCCAATGGTTCTCTAACTGATGTCAGCTCATGATGAAATCCTGTAACCAATTAAATTCCTACAACCCAATATTTGAATATTAAAATAAACGTCATCAAATAATATGCTACGAATTTTTTTACATTTTATATATTTCCTGCTTACATCCGTTTACGTTCTTAACACTGTTTTTGTTATTTTAGTTATATATGCTGCTCTTCCTGCTTCTTCTTTTTCCAAGGTACTTGGTCTAACTCATTAGGTGAACGTCAATTATGGGTAGAACAAGTACCGGAAAGACATTATTGTCAACCGCCAAAACAACATTTTGTTACGCTAATTCAACACAAAGTAATGCAGAATTCATCCTTAACTGCAAATACTTCATAGTTGGATTTTGGTTTGTTTTCTTTTGTTATGTGTGTGTGTGTATGTGTGTATGGAGGCAAAGCGAGGGAGAACAGGGATTATAACTCTCAGTATTTATTGTTTCCTATCCATTGTGTTCTCGTGTTCTTATTATATACATAATATAAATAATAGTAATACCAATAATAGTAATAACAAAAATAATAAGGTTGACCATTCTCCTCTTTTTATATAGACAACACTTCACCTCGATCCTGTTCTTCCTCTTATTTAGGTGGATTAAAAAACCAAATTTGTGTCTGTTTTTGAACTCATTTTATGCATTCTCTTCCTGTATGACCCTCTTGCCGTTGGTTCTCTTGTTGATGCATATATATATATATATATATATATATATATATATATATATATATATATATATATATATATATATATATATATATATTGGGAGTAGAGCTGTGTTATGCTACAAGTACGAACATAATATAGATAAATTTCATGTTACCACACAATGTTTTTTGCTCACTGACTTCGTTTTTTAGATAATATACAATTTTACACTTATTTTTTTGATAAGTTAAAATGCTTCCATTACTGTTCAAGTGTTGGTTTGTAGGGATTTGATTGGTTATAGGATTTCATCATGAGCTGACATCAGTTAGAGAACCATTGCAAAACCACCTGAAAGTACTGGACATCTGTTTCGTTCTAGTTTGGGACTCTTCATCAGTACGCAACCGAAGACCTTCTGGTTACAAGACCAGCGAGTTCGTTTACCATTAAGTCACTGGGACCCGATCCAATGGCCAGTCCATGAATTCTAACTTCTGCGCAACCGCTAGCCAATGTCTTCGGCGAGTATTTGTCTTCACACCCGATCTGCTGCTTTCATTACTATTGACTGAATGCATAAAGTTCAGACCATATTTCTGTAAGAGGCGTGTGTATAGATATAACCACAATATCCTACTTTTAACCATTGTTCGAAAATGTTATGTGAAATACCAGCGATTATTGATTATTGTTGTCCTTTTTAAAGTTGCTTTTGAAACTAGATATTAGAGTATATTGATACTCTGCTTTTTTGGCTCGATATTTTGAAGGATATATAAATGAGTTTCTTTTCGTTGTCGATTGTAATCTAGTTTATCAATCCAATAGTCAGCAAAAGGATCAAGTTGTTGTTTATTAGAAAGCGAATCCGTGATTTCACGACAACTGTTTCCTTATCATCAAAATACAAACTTGGTACAACATGACAGACATTAAGAGGCGCTCCACACAAGATATCGGGATGCTACTTGGTGGCTCAGATCGAAGCAGATGGTTGTTTTAAAGGGGACCATCAGTTCTCCGAACATTTGACTTAAGGTCTCGTCTAAAATGCAGTAGAGCTAGCTGCATTGCCATGGTTGGTGGTGATCGAAACAGGTTCATATGTCATTCGATTCTGGAGCCCATGTACCTGGCCAACAGGATGAATCTGAAAAATTCACCTTGAGGGTGTCAGGAGATGCCACAGCTAGTTCACGAGGATTAGCTGGCGTAGGGATAGCTTTGAGTACTAGGGCAGAAAAGACATTGCTTGACTGGATCCCGGTAGATAGCCGAATGTGTGCTGTCCGCCTGAACGGATCAGTAAAAAGGAGAAAGGACTGCACTACTCGCCGATGCCTTTTCGTAATCTCCGCCTACGCCCCCACTGACTGCAGTTCAGATGAAACGAAGGATGAGTTCTACCAAAAGCTGTCTAGTTTGGTGCGAAAGGCTAAACGCTCAGACATAGTCGTTCTAGCTGGTGACTTTAACGCTCAAGTAGGGAAATTGTGTCAATCTGAGAAGGATGTCGGTGGCACCTATGGAGTTCCGTGCCAGCGAACCGACAACGGTGACCGTCTCCTACAGTTCTGTTCTGATAATCATTTGTTTCTTGTAAGCACTAACTTCAAACACAAGGAGAGACACTGTTTGACTTGGAGACCCCCTTCATCAAACCAACGCTGGACACAAATAGACCACATAGCAATAAGCTATCGTTGGCGTGGGTCGGTAGGAGATTGTCGCTCCTTCTGGAACACGTGTGTAGATACCGACCATGCACTGGTCCGCGCTCGGGTGTGCTTACGACTGAACGGACGTAGGAAACAGCTGGCGGTAAAACCATCACGTCCCCAGCTCGATCAGGAAACTAAATCCGTATTTGAGGAAGAACTAGCTAAACACATATCTGTGTTCGACAGCTGTGCTCACCCTGAAGAAGCTTGGAAAAATATCCAGGCAGCCATAGATACAGCTGTAAAAGCTGTGAATAAGGTAAACCCAAAGGTGAGTAAAAACCACTGGATCTCCACCGCCTCATCCGAACTGATAGATGCTAGAAGACTTATTCCGGCGAGCTCCGAATTCAATGAGGAGCGAAAGCTGCACAAGAGGAAACTTACGAAAAGTCTCCGCAAGGACCGTGAACAGTGGTGGGCGACAAAAGCCAAAGAGATGGAGAAAGCTTCGAGGATAGGCAACACCAGGCAACTCTTTGGACTCATCAGGGAAACGGGTGGGAGAAGACAAATCATCAGTGAGACAATCTCGGAAAAAAATGGCACTATAATTAGCTCACAGGATAGACGACTGGATCGTTGGAAAGAGCATTATGAGGAGCAGTTTAATTTGCCCACAGCCACGCTCAACCTTCCGAGCATCCAACACCTCCCTGAATGGGATATAGACACAGGTCCTCCGTCACTAACTGAGGTTACTAAAGCTGTCACCAATCTGAAACTAGGCAAAGCAGCGGGACCTGATGGAATGACTCCAGAGGTATTTAAGTACGGTGGAGACAGCTTACTGTCTGGATTAACTGAGGTACTAGGCAGCGTCTGGGAATCAGAAGAAGTCCCATCGGGTTGGTGTAAGTCACTGATTATCCCCATATACAAGAAGGGAGACAAGTCTTCCTGTGATAATCACAGAGGGATTAGCTTGACTAATATAGTATCTAAAGTCTTAGGCTCAATAATCATGCGTAGACTGAGTGGTGCTCGGGGGCACAAACACGAGAGAGCCAGGCAGGCTTTAGACCAGGAAGAGGGTGTATTGATCATATCTTCACCCTCCGACAGATTCTAGAACATAGGCATTCCTACCGGCGTCCAACAGTCATTATATTTCTTGACCTAAAGGCAGCATTCGACTCTGTCGATCGGAAGTTCTCTGGAGATGCTTGGCTGTAAAGGGAATTCCGAGAAAATATATTGCACTGATTAAGGCACTCTACTCGTACTCATACAGCCAGGTGAGGGCTTACGGCGAGCTGTCATCTGAACTGATGACGACCAGTGGTGTCCGTCAAGGATGCCCATTATCTCCTTTTCTATTCAACTTCATCATAGATGTGTTAATGGACTTAACCCTAGGTGACTTCAGCGACTCAGGGATTGACTTGCTACCGGGGAATAATCTCGTTGACTTGGAATATGCAGACGATATAGTCCTTCTAGGCGAAGACGCTGACGAAATGCAGAGTCTTCTAAACACCTTGAGCCGCAATCTACGAATGTTTGGCATGCGATTCGCTCCCGCCAAATGCAAGATGATGTTACAGGACTGGACTACATCGACGCCTAGTTTAAAAATAGGAAGTGAAGTGGTAGAGCACGTTGACCGCTTCACTTATTTGGGAAGTACCATCAGCCCCAACGGGCTGATCTCTGACGAAATCTCAGCACGAATACAGGGGGCTCGTTTCGCATTTGTTAGTTTACGCCGACTCTGGCGTAGACGAGGTGTCCGACTATCGACCAAAGGGCGGGTGTACTGCTCATCAGTCCGCTCCGTCCTCCTTTATGGTTGTGAGACCTGGCCACTGAGAGTGGAAGACATGAAAAGATTAGCTGTCTTGGATCACAGATGTCTGCGTTCTATCTCCCGCGTGAAGTGGTTTAACAAAGTGAGCAATATTGAGGTTACTTCTAGGTCGGGTACTAGATAAGCAGGGGAAATCAATCGACGAGGCTGTGAAATGGCATAGACTGAGATGGTTAGGACATGTGTTACGTATGTCTAGTCGTCGTCTTCCTCGACGGGCAATGTTAGCTGACATAGGTTTAGACTGGAAAAGAACTAGCGGCGGTCAAACCAAAACATAGCACCAGCCAATGAAATCTACAACAGTTAGTCTAAGTCATATAGGAAGGTGTAGACTTCTTGGTTGGGGTCCTCGGGACGGTAAAAATCAATGGTTGGAAACAATTGGTGATTTGGCTGGCTGAAAGTGGTCGTTCTCAATGGCTGGCTAGCGCAGATGCATCCACTCCCTGTGACTTATGATTTCCAATGAAACTATATTGTTCTTCGTTATTACTATTCCTTTTGTCTCATATCTATGCCTAATGTCTCTATTACGCATTTCTTCTCTTGCTTTGTGTGCTTCATGGAAATAGTGTGGCGACTTAAACTGCCGCACATCGGTGCAAAGTTCTATGCCGAAAACAGACAGACAGACAGAAACATACACGTTGATGTAAAATCAAATCAACTGCCAATTACTGTACAAATTTATTTATGATACAAACAACAACATGCTCAACCAAGTAGGTATTTGGTTTTAGGTCAAGAATGGGCGATTTTCTGCATGGCGGTATTTTCAAGCCATAATAGTAATGATTCCCTTGATTACTGGTGTCAAAATGAATCATGGATTAACAGTAGTTAGAGAATCACTGAAAACCAGGGATCCTTAGCGATTGGCTTCATGGGTGTGTGCTGTTGAGAAGTCCCAAACTAGGTCGAAACTACTATCTAGTACTGTCTAGTTTCCAATGCTTCTCTAACTGATATCAATCCTTGATTAAACATGAAACCGATCCAATTTGTACAGTATAGTAACACATGAAAATTAACCTGCCGTTCATTAACCACTGTCTACAGAATGAAGTTGTCTGGAGTTCTACTGACAAGTCGTGACTATTTGGGGTCCATCAGGT